TAGGGTTTAGGGCTTAGGGTTTCCGATATTTTTAGAAACACGAACAGTACCTCGGGTTCCGGATCTTCACGTCAACAGTCTGAGGGTTTATGACAAACCTGGGCCCGACGAGCGTTGTTATCATCTCCAAGCACAAAACCCATAACTCCAAGCCCCAAGCACCATGCCCTAACCCAAAAACCCAGAACCCAACCCTAAACCTTAAAGAAAGCCTCAAACCTTAAACCTCAGCCAAAAGCTTCAAAACCCTAAACCCTAAACTGGAATGAGGAAGTGGCTGAAGCTTCGAGCAGGATCTGAGATGCTTCAAGCTGAGATATGGCGCTTCAGGCGCTTTGCGTCCAAGCAGGGTTCCTTTGAGTTTTAGGGTTTAGGGATTTGATTCAGGCATTTAGGAAAATTTGGGGTTCAGAGTTTAGATAGGAAGTCAAGGTTTAGGGCTTTAGTGGTTTTGGAGTGAGGTTCAGGGTGCAGGAAGTCAAGGGCTTTAGTGGTTTTTTTGGTGGTTTTGGAGTGTGGTTTCCTACCCGAAACCTCAACGACGACCTTACCGCTCTAAGCCTTGTCCCCTCAACTCTGATCTTAATGAGAAGACCCGGAGCCCTGAAGCAAAGAAGATCCCAGGCCCTGTGCTTAAGACCTCATCCGTCATCGTTAGGACCTTAGGAACGATAGCCTGAACCCCCCCAACATCTAAACCCTAAACCCGAAACCCTGAACCCCTAAACCCTAAACCCTAAACCCTCCCCCCAACATCGAGGATGAAGCAAGAAACCCCAAAACTCCAACGGCCTTCGAACAGGACTCGTGTCGGTGCCTATGCGAACAACGACCTGACGCACTTCCATGTTGGGAGGGCACAGGCGAGGCATTCACGACGACGACGAGACGACGACGACCACTACCACTAACACTACCACCACTACTAGTACTACTACTACTACTACTACTACTACTACTACTATTTCCTGCTACTACTACTACTGCTACTGCTACTGCTACTGCTACTGCTACTGCTACTGCTACTGCTACCAGTACTACTTCAAGAACCAGCACCAGCACCGCTGCCAGTACCAGTTCCATTGCCCTTCCCCTACCACTACCACACCACCGTTACCACGACGACTGCTACCACTGAGAAACATCGTCATGGATGTCAGGGTTTTGGCATTCAGCGGCATGCCCTTGGTAGTGAGATGAAAGGTGAATACGCTCAGGGCTATATCTCTGCAAGGCTTCAAGTTTCAGTGCGCTTGGGGTTGGATCTCACATCTGCCCAGGCGGAACGCCGTGCCGAGCAGCTTTTCCAGAAGATGCTCGACTGAGCTAAAACGGAGGTTTAGGGTTTAGGGTTTCGGGTTTAGGGTTTAGGGTTTCAAACTCAATGTCGGATGCTAGACCTTCAGAAAGATTGATCACTCAGGAAGATCTTCCTGGTGGCAGACACCGTGTTGGGTACCTCGGATGAAAATAGTTATGGAGTTCCGAAACGGAGACCCCGAACGTGAAATCTCGCAAGATAGCCGGCCGCTGCACGATCTTGGGTACTACAGCCATGGAGTATTAAGGGGGGCGGGGGGTTCTGAACGAGTAGGTTTTGCACGTACACCACTGTAGTCCAGTCACAGAGGGATTAACAGCGATTTTTTCACACTTGTTTTAATCTCTGTATTGCTCGCTGCTGTATGCTAGCTGTAACAGCAAGTCTGAAAATCAGCTAGAACCCTAAACCTTGACCCGGAACAGTAAACTCCATCTGCCAAATGCGCTGACAGCACGATGCGGATCGTTACATCACAAAAGCACCAAAAACCTGAATCGTGACACGAGGTCGATCTGGCTTCGCCTGTCTCATAGATGACCTAACCTTGCGAGACGAAGCGCTTGCTCATACTCTAAACCCGGGTGCGCAGGTGCCAAAGTCCTCGTATCCGCGAATACGACGACCGATGACGTGTGTATTCGGTTCGAGGGCACACGCCAACACCTGGAAACCATGATCCACGAGAGGCTGCGCCACCCGGCTTTGATTCGAAGCTTTGGCTCAGGGTGTGGTAGCTGTCGTTGTTAATGTAGGGGCCTCAATATTTACCTATGTTAATTTGGCGTGAAGGTTCCACCCTCCATTCATATAGTTCCAGGGTTTGGCTGGTTGTAAAAGGGTTTCAGGTTCGCGGTTTGGCTGGAGAACCCCAAAACCTCAACCCTACTGGTAGTCCCTAAACCCTAAACCCTAGTCCCTAAATCCTAAACCTAAACCCTAAACCCTAAACCCTAAACCCTAAACCCTAAACCCTAGTCCCTAAACCCTAAACCCTAAACCCTAAACCCTAAACCTTCAGAGCTAAGGGGCATTGGCTGAAGACTGGGGGCATGAAAGATGTTTGGGTTGGGCTTGTGGCTTGGGCTTCGGGGTTCAGGGTCCGGGGTGTGGGGTTTGCCCTAAACCCTAAACCCTAAACCCTAAACCCTAAACCCTAAACCCTAAACCCTAAACCCTAAACCCTAAACCCTAAACCCTAAACATGGTTTAGGGTTTGGGGTTTAGGGTTTGGGGTTTAGGGCCTTTGGGCTGTGGGGGTTCGGTGATCAGGGATTAGGGTTTAGGGTTTAGGGTTTAGGGTTTAGGGTTTAGGGTTTAGGGTTTAGTGATTCACAGTGATCAGGGTTCAGGGTGTAATGTTTTGGGCTTGTGGGTGTAGGCTACGAGTTAAAGCTTTTCTGGTCTGCGTGTCATTCAACAAGAAACCCAAACAGTCCGCCCTTTTTCCTAAACCCTAAACCGCAAACCCACAGCCCGAAACCCTAAACCCTAAACCCGAAACGATGAGCCTGGCACCGAAGAGCCTGGAGCTTAGGACTCTGCCCGACTGAGGTCTGCACCGGTTGACCTCTGCGCACTTCAAGCACAAGCAGTACCAGAACCTGGCGTGTTCTTGGAAACTATTTTGGGTATTGGGTTTAGGGTTTTAGGGTTTAGGGTTTCGGGTTTAGGGTTTAGGGTTATAAATTATAAGGACCTTCATATTTATGTTTTAAGGACTATAATCCCTATATAACCATATATAACCCGTAAGACTTTGATTTTTATAGGGCTTC